GTGTCCTCTTTTGGAAGACCAAACAAAGTAGTTTCGCTTTCACAGCGAAACACACAGCGTCTCCACGACATTGCAGCAGCAACAATACTACAGCGAGAATAAAAGTTACGCCGCCTTTCTTTGCGTGAACATTTGGGCGGCGTTATGCAAATCTTCCCACATCGTGACGTAGACATGTGGGGGCGTGTTAGAACGAGGCGTTCTGGCGGGCGTGGACCAGTCTTAACTTTTATAAAGAATATCTCTTTGGATTTGAGACTTTAGTCTTTGCAACTTTACAGATCTTCTTTATGCACCAAGAGCTTGTAACACTCCAAAGAGAACGGAACAATTGAAATTGCATCAATGACCCTTTAAAACCCTTTAATTAAATTATTTTAGTGGCTGCAATCTCCTGTTTCCCGCCGTTTCAGAAACAGTCCTGCATGCTGTTGAGGAACCTGGTGGCCCGCACGCGTGACTTCAGCCAACTCATCCTGGAGATGGGAGCCGAGGCGCTGATCTCGCAGGCTCTGGCGGCTCACCGGGACTGTGGTGACGTGGGTCGAGCCGCTCTCAGAGACCTCGGCTGCCAGGTCGAACTACGAGAATTCTGGACGGGCAAGAAAGGAAGCCTGAGTCACTGATGATCGTCTGTAGACTCAAAACGATCACGATTACATCATATGACAGCGTGTAATAACTGTGGAGCTCGCACTAAATGTCTGTGATCAAACATCTGATGTCCACATGCATAGGATGCTTTACAGGTTACAGTGTAGATGTGTTGATTTTTTTAGTTTAAATATTTTAAAGCCACTGTTTATAGTTTGTACGAGGTTTTTTACCCAGGAATGACCGCTGTGCTTGGTCTGGATTAATTTGAGCTGACGTTGACCGCGAGAATCAAGTGTGTTTAATTCAGAGGTGCATTGCTGGATTGTCACACTGTGGCTGTTTAACCCTTAATATGTTTAATCTAAAGACCATCATCTCGCCTGTTAAATGTGCTTTCAATGTGCTTGTTTCTTACATTCCAAAGTGTTTTATTACACCGAACACGCTTTCATGCACAAGGTGAGCCAGAATATGAGTCACATGTTTTCTCAATCATATGTGTTGCAATATTAGTTGAAGAAATGAATAAACCCGCTCTGTACTGGAACTGATAGTGTTTGTGATTAAATCACACTGATGTGTCTATATTATACATATTCCTTTACAAAAATGCACCACTTTATACTAAAATACCATCATTATTAGTTATAGTTGCAACTGTAAAATCATAATAAATTGATATATGTGACCCTGCACCACAAAACCAGTCTTAAGTGTCAATTTTTCAAAATTGAGATGTATGCATCATCTGAAAGCTGAATAAATAAGCTTTCCATTGATGTATGGTTTGTTATGATAAGACAATATTTGGCCGAGATACAACTATTTGATTTTCCCATACTATTAGATATTTTGATTTATGCACATTTAAGTATTTTGGTAGAAATTATCATTGCTTTAATAACTTTTTATAAGTTTTGCAAAGGTAATGTGGTACAGTAGTGGTATTAGATATTAATACACAGAAATATGCCATGGTACAGATTATTAAAACTAAAACCATAAATTATTTTTGTTAACTTGAAATAAAATAGACATTAACTGAACTGAAGTAAAATATATTTTAAAAACTTATTTTATATTTATTAAAGTTTTTAGTTTAGTTTAAAATTTTATAGTTTATTATTTTATGTATTTTAATTTAGTTTAAGTTGATGTAATAAACTAAATATATATATATATATATATATATATATTGACTTTTAATAAGCTGAACAAGGGTAAGAGGAATAGCTTTAATAACATTCCTTAAATTGGACCGGAAAACTGTGGGTTCGCATAAACTGTTCATAAGTTAAAAGTTTCCCATAATTATCAAACATATTCATAAGGTGATTAATACCCCTGTTAACCCGCTGGTGTTGTTCAATCATTTTAGAATGGAAAAAAATGCAAAGAAATTTTACAAATTGCTACTTCATCGGAATGGTACGGAACTCGATGACTTTTATGGCAGTCACTATGTGACCACAAAAAAAAAAAAA